GGGGGGGGTGGGAAGGGGGTGGGAGAACTTTCTGCAATGCATTTTGTTCTCTAAATTTTACCTTACGGAATAGTAATACTAAGACGCCTAATCATCGAGACAACGCGCCGCTCAAATTAACATTTTAAATCTTATTCATAACAATCTTTTGATGCAAGGTTGATTTAACACATTAGAGGTTTCCTACAAAGTACCTCAATCGTGTTCTCTAGTTGCATACGCATTCACTTGCTTACTGTGAGTAATGAAACCTTCTAATCTGTGATGGAATTTAATCAATTTTAGATATATTCTTATAGTGCCAAATTACATGCGGAATTTAAAGAAATACTTACTTTGTTTGCATTTAAACAAAACCACTGATCTAACTTTAAATAATTTTACTTAAATGAAAGTTTTGTGCGGAAGATGAATGTGCACGAAATTAATCTGATGGAATATATTGGCGTTATTTCTTTATTTGTTAAATCAAGGCAAAATCGAAGTTATTGTGGCATTTCTAATTACTAAGTTGTTGATCGATAATGAAATATAAATATTAATAGCTTAACCGAAATCACTCAAAATATGGGTGGAAATAAAGTGTATTATATTAATTTGATTGAAATAAAAAATTTAATATTTAATTTAAAATTGATACATCGAGAAGAGGGTGTTTAGTTTTGAGTATCACTAAATGGGGATCACAACTTATCTCACAGTCAATTTTATATCTACTTATTGGGCATCAATTTATATGAAGGTCATGTATTCACTAATATTAAGTCAATAGGCAAATATTTCTCTGACGTAATCACACATTACCAGACCTATATATTTCTCTATTTCAGTTGGATTAAAATTATATACTCCTTGCGATTTTATCTGAAGGTATACTCCGCTTCAATTTCATTGACTTTTGAACAATATTATTTTGATAGATATTTAGAGATTATCAGCCAGTTACTGTGATTCCGTGGTTAATTAACCCATCTTAGCTCCCCAATAGTCAATTGCAGCCAATGAGTTGTAGATGAGGCTTTCACAATACTTTCAACATAACAAAACCTATAAGAAATCAATTACAATTGCAATTGAGAAATAGTAATTAATTTACATTTGTCTTTTAGGCTTCTACGCTCTTACCAGGCACTCTTTTGGCATTTATTTGGCGTGACTCAAATTAATCAATACCGAATGCACGTCAAGGATGCGGAGGGTAATTTAGCTGACCTCAAATCAGCTGAGGTCACTATGACAGTGGGAGAGATACTTCTAATGATCTACCATGCTATGGCGATCATTGTCTTGGTCAATATGCTCATCGCTATGATGTCCAATTCATTTCAAACTATTCAGGTGAGTATTCTACTAATTAATATATGAATGCGCTTATTAGAACCCAAATTCATTTAAACGGTATATTTGAAAGAAGTTATTACTTATTACTATACTACTGAAATCTGCTCACAGTTTCCATCACAAAATATATCAGCCAATTAAATGGGGAGTATTATAATAGACCAATAAGAAGTGAAGGGTGAGGAGGGTCGGGAAGAGAGTATTATACCATTGGAGCTTAGAAGATATCGAATTCTCAATGCATTCAAAGGAGGGAAGGAGAGGGGTGAGAGGGATGTCTAAACACCCTAATTAATAAATTATGTCTCCTGGATACGATTGATTCCCACCTCGGGTTAGTTGAAATTTCTTCTCGCAGCAATGGTTAGGTAGACAAGTTGAATAGATTCGTCTTCATACATAGCAGGAATCAGTGGAACAATATTTTTTCTTACTTACTTTGATCCGCATATGGACAAAGTGATCAGTGTGAGGGGATTTTATTTTAAAAATTTATTTTGACACCTTTGAAGCAAAGAATCCTTTCCAGGCCGATGGTGCTAAAAATCTAATTAAAATTTTTGTTTATTTTTGTTACTTTTAATAAGCTTTTTTCCTATTAAAGAGTGCACTCTCTTGGCAAGACTCCACAAATGCCTATTGACTTTAGTAATTGTGGTAAATAAAACTGGCCATTTCAGTCCTTGAATTTTTATAAAAGAATGTAACCTGTTTGATATCGATTCGGTCCCTATGTTTATCTAACTTTTAAAGGAGAAGAAGAAAGCACATTAACTGAAGTACCAAAACGGACTATCGTAAGTAACTCATCACTTGAAAGTCACTTGATATTGAAGGATGAAACATGCCCACTTATCCAATAGACACACCTTTGAACGTGAAACACATCCTCAGAGAACTTGCATTATTCGGCGAATTCTGAAAAAAAATTATATCCGGTAACAAGAACAGATATTTCTAGTGCTTATCCAGATTCACTGTTTTGTGCCACTAAAGTAACTTTTATTTCTCTATTTTATTCCAAGTGGTTGTTATTTAATAGATATGATATCTGCTCTCAGCAGTGTCGATTTACTAGTATGAGAAGTGTGGCTGCAGTTTACTGGTACCCAAAGTCAAACATCCATGGTTGCTTACGGTTATTAAGCATACAATCCAGAACGCATTACAATTTCAATTAGCAATCGCTTTCATTGTAATTTTTCTTTACTGTCTATTGTTCTACCAACATTGCACACATAAAATGAATGGCTGGACCTAAAATTGTCATAAAACAACCACCCATCTCACACTTGATACTTCCATTCTCTCAGAATTGAAGTACCCAATTTTTTAAGTAAATTAAAGTAGCAAAAAATTGAGTTTAATTAAATTGGTTAAAGCATGCGAACGCTTATTGACTTCAAATATTTTTTTAAGCATCGCCTTCCTAATTTCAGAAGCGATGTTAAAACTACTTGAAAAATTTGTTTACCCACCTTGAAATGTCCTACTCTTCTTCAACAGTCAAAATAAATCCACTGCAAAATAACGTTGATTAAGAAAGCCTTAAAGATAATCGAGTGATTTGTCAAAGCTTGGCATTGTTGAATTTTAGTAACATGTATGCAAATGCTCTGAAATTTTCTGTCACAAATTTGAGGAAGGAAAAAATGAGCGTTTAGACATGAAAATAAGTATTTGTGACTTTGTCATTGAAGCATTTTTTAGGCTAAAAGCTTGCAAAACTAGAGGAGGCTGTGACCAATTATAAAAGAATGATGCATTAATTATACGATTGCCATCTCCAGGTAATAGCCAATAGGAATTTTTAGCTCAAATGGTAAATTAATCGACTTAGTATTTCCCATTAATTACGTGGTGCTAACTGGTTTTAAGGAAAAATGTTCTGAATGCTACACTTTGTTCTCCCTTACCCATGCTTAGCGTGGAAAATGCTTTATTGTCAAAAGGCCTCTGAGCTAATGGAACACTGAAGCACATGTCCATGGCCAATTAATTCAAAATCTCACATCTGAAATCACTTTGTGCTATGTACTCAACGCCTTCCTCCGTACTATCTGTTGCTTTACTTCGGAGTGCTTTAGCGAAATATTCAGGTAAGAGTTATGTTCATTTGGAAGCGGCAACCTTCCGCAATCTCCTCTTGAGTACAGCAATAATTGTCATACTTTGCTCATTTGATTACTCCTCATATGACTGGAGTTAACACGTCCAGGTTTTAGAAGTGTATTTGCTCGTATTCTCTTAAAAAGAAAACTTAATTTTGAGTATTCACTGTTCGTCAAAGGAAAGGGATAATATTCTGAAGAATCGCATATCTACTGACGTGCTGTTCACTTATTACTGTTGCACCCACTATTGAAATGATTGCTGCAGCCAGAATATGGACTTTGCAAGGCAAATCATCTCCCCTATACTCTTGAATATTTGATTTTGCTCCATTCAGTTGGCATTGATTAAGGCAAACTGAAATGTTAGTCATTCATAATCATAAGCAAATCACCTGTGGAAATGAAATATATGAATAAGTCATCAAAGAGGGAATGAACGGTGAATCGGTCATATTCTACGTTAATTGAACTCAGCATGGATTAGAGTTTTTTGAATTTTTCAAGAATTTGTCCACTTAATTTTGGAGTGAATTCATCTGAGCACTGCTCTAAGGTACTGACATTTGCATGCTTTGCGATAAACTTTACCCAATCGATAGTAAAGTTTCCATCTTCCAGGTATTTTTGCATGGTTTAATCAATATGTAATACCGCCTAATATTCTACTAATAATTAAGCTTGCCGATATCTTTTCAAAGATTATGGCAAAAAAGCAATTGTCGTTTGATTGTTTTCGGAATTCACTCCAAGTCCTATCGAGTCTCTATGGAGAAGGACGTGTGTTTTACCTGGGCCAGAAATTCATCAATAAAGAAGCAAAAGACAAATGCCCGTCATTATTGCTTACCTTGACGTAAGCATATAACCTAAATGACAGATAATATTAGCCTGGAAGCGAATTGTTTACAATCTCATCACTATGGTTATCTTCTACAACCTATTGACGGCTAAAGACTTCCAAATAATAATGGCACAAATCAAGTAACTTTATTTGAACAATTGAAGTTATCAAAATTTTTTGCGAATATTCTTTTTGTCCTTCTGCCTTATTTGATTTGGTTGAATTAGTTTTGACCACAAATAAAGCTCATAAAAGAGTATTGTAATCTATTTTCTCAAAGATATATTTGAGTTCCTATAATCCCATTATCTTAGTAAATGTTGATTTGGGGAGGGGTGGAATTGAATCTACTGAAGCTACTATGCTGATACATTCGAGTTGAAATTCGGTATGCTTGAATATGATGCTCTGAACAATAGATGTATGGTAATTACATATAAAACGTAACATTCTACTGTACTTACAAGCGCTTGTAACAAATAGAACTTGAGGATTATTTGATAATTTCTGGCACTTTTAAGAAAGAACCATTTTTTGGTACTTTAAATGAACTTTAATTCATCCAAGGGTACCTTAATTTCACGTTGTACTTACATGTTCGCATTGTTGTTTCGTTGATCTTGCATTTGCCATAATGCAAGTGGAAAGTATGGCGCAGTTATTATAATGCAACCGACGAGGAATATGGCCAAGTACTCTTGAAGAAAAATCTTCCATCACGCCGGGCAAGTCTTTTCACCAGAGGACCACCTTGGAATTACCCACTACCTAGAGTGAATGTTAAAGACCAGTGAGGTCCTCTTTCAAAATAAGCTCCTCATTGGTAATAGACCCCTAACAGAAAGAGCACTATTGGCGTTTGCAACACGCTCGATACGTATCTACAGCCGTCGTCTGATACACCACCAAAACTCATAACATCGGAGGGGCATCAGTCTGCTGTGTGAGACACGCATGAGTGCGGTCGGGTGCATTTTTCAAGACAAATAATTCAGGTGCGTTAAGAGGCTAAGAGAGATAGAGAGGGAGTGCAGATACGTTTTCGGGGCTTGAACATGGTTTGTATTAGCTCCGAATGCTCTGAATAAACACGACTTAACCTGATCACACCTTGTTGTTTTTTTCACATAACAAGTGTTAGAATAGGGAAATAAAGGTCAATTTTTAATTAAATAGTGACTTTATGGGAAGACCAAAACCCATTCTTTTGTTCCCACCACTAGATTTCAGGTGTCAAAATGTTGTTGATAAGGAATTAGCAGATCCAAAATAGTGGACACGGACAACTTTCCCATAAGCCTTCATGATCTTTTTAATAATGTAACATTCCGTAATTATGTCAACTTAGACTAACTCTCATGGCCATTAACTTAAATAGGTGATAAATAAAATGGGGAATTTTATTACAATATTGCTAATAATAATTCAATGAATTTATTGGGAAAATCTGGTCAAAAGGCGTTTCGGACGGCGTTAGGATCTGTGTTTTACTATACCGTTATGAGTGAAGAGGGTAAACTGAGAAATTCAGTTTTGCTTTATTTTTAACTCGGGATTTCCACTGAGGTTTGATGAAGTTGGTAAGAAAAGACTCTGCTTTTTGAGATAAAATGCCTTTAGTTGCTAATTATATATTCCAAAATCTAGTTCAAATTGGTCTGGGAACAGAGAAGACCGTGCATTCAGATCTGAGAATGCGAAAGAAATCGATGTTGACGCAAATTTTATCTTTTGAGTTTCAAAGGAGTAAGTTGGAATAGGCTAACTGTTACTAGTAAATTGCCATCAGCGATAAAGGGTATAATTATTAACTGTGAAAAAAACATTTTGCATCTTTCATCATGAAATGACTCATTATTTAATTTAACAAAAATCTCCTACAATATACTTGTTTTAATTCATTACTTTAACTTCATAACTAGAACCAAGCGGATATTGAGTGGAAATTTGCTCGTAGCAAGCTCTGGTTAGGCTACTTCGATGAGGGTTCAACTCTGCCCCCACCATTAAACACCATCGTCTCTCCAAAATCCATCTGGCGTTTAGGAAGAGGATTGATTCGACTACTCATCTGCTCCTCTAAGTCAAGCAATGATGATCATTCCAAAACCTCATCTTCTTATCACAAACGACGAAGTAAGGTAAAGCCCTATCCATCTTCCCCGAGGAGACACCACTCAATGTCGAACAGAATTGATGCATCAACATCGGGACGTGATGGATGTGAGATGTGGACAGATCATGAAGGGGAACCTGCCATCAGGCTTCCCAGTTCTGTCAACAACGGCGACACAAAGGCGAAACCAACGATAGTCAAAATTAAACCGAAGGAGGTAATTCTTCCAAATTTAAAAAAGTATTTCATATGTAGATATGTATATCTGGCTGTAGGATAATCGATGAAATATCTATCAAAAAAATATCTTAAAGAAAATTACACAAAGAAATTTAAATACGTAGTTGTGAAGCATAATTAGGTAAATTTAGTAATTTAGACGGTGTATCTCTCTCAAACACTTAATTGGAGTTAAATAAAACTTCAATAAAACTGAGAACCAGACGGAATGATTTGATTCCAACATCGACGAAAAAGTTATACATAGTGTATCTTAGAAAGGACTGTGAAGTTTTAACTGCTAGAGGATGATTATTCCAAGTTTATTTTCCGTTTAAAACTCCTGTAACTGGGAAAATTTTGTCGGATGCCGAAATACTGGAGGCTAGAATCTCTATATTGCACTTAAAGATCATCAATAATAAATACTGCTAACTATTCCACGCAGTGAAACCTCAATTCGCAGGTGATAATGTTGACCACTACGTCACTCAAGAACAAAACATTTGCCTGTGAGACTAATACCACTTAGAGCCGGTCCCATTATTTATGAATGCTTCTCCACTCTGAGTAATGCAGTATAGTCTTATGTTTCAGCTTGTAATGACAATGAAATAGGACTGTTAGGGAAAATCGTGCATAAAATGCATGTAAGAGATATCATCTCGCACACTTCCCTTTAATCGCAAACCAACTCTGGAATAGATTATTTATTTATATCAAATGGCAGGCTTTATGAAAGGCATCACTAACCCCTTTTGTTGATTTCGAGCTCCACGGAGAGGAGGTACATCAAGGTCACAAAATGTCGAGAGAGGGAACAGAAGAGTGATTTACATATGTAAAAGAGGCAGAGACAAGGGTATTGAAAGGGGTGAGTATTGTGGAAGTAATCGAATATGACCTACAGTGGGGTGATGATAGCTTGACGTCAGAAGTCAACATTTTTTTTGCCTTATGAGTCCACGTTGGCCAGGAGTGCACCGTGTGGAGGTAAGTCTATTGCGTACCTCCCCCCCCCCCCCAATTGCATTATTGATTAATAAATTTTCCAATTGTGTGTCTAGTAGCACTAGAAAAATTTTCCCAATTTTAGTCGAATTCACTTGGAATTCTCTTTTTTGAGTTTATCTGAACATTTTTCAATAACCACTCTTTTCACCGCTATTTTCTTCAGAAAGGTACTATTAAGCGTGTAAATTATAACCCTTTTTACCAAATGTCATGTACACCTTCACGACGATATGCTTATTTATAGACAATTTCCTTGAAAATAAAGCAAAATAATTTGACTTAATTTTACTTGCTTGCCTCGAACGCAAGGGCTTTTAATTACACGTTTGCGTTGCACTTCTCAAATTCTCCATTTTAGAGTTCGAAGAGAGGGCATGCGAAGAAGAACTCCTATCAGGTAAATGTGACTTGAAGTAATTCCCCCTTTTTAAATAGATTCCTCAAGCTTGTACTGAAGTAAATCCATTTTTTGTTTTCAAAATTTTAGGCAATAACTCGAATTCTAGTTAGGAGATATATTCACGTTTCAAAGAAGACAATGCGACAAGGTATTGTTAACGAGGATGACCTATTGGAGATCAAACAGGATATTTCCAGCCTAAGGTTAGCTGAAATGATTGAAAGTATTAGCCTATCAACGCCCTTAGGGGGACCGTATGGTCCTCTTTCGAGATTAGCCCCATTGTTGCTAAACTCGTAACAAAGGGTGATACTGCTATTCGAAGCATGTTCAGTATGTCTTTAGTCTTCCCCTGATATCACAAAACTCATCTCTTCGGTGGCAACATCGTGAGTGAAGTTGGCTGCATTTTTCAAAAAGCCAAATTCGGGCGTTAAAGGGTTTAATGAGTGAAGAGCAAATGAACTGATAATGCTAGTAAATGGATTCAAAATTCCGATCAATAATATCACTTTCGGCAACCTCGAAATGATTCCAATCGAGTATGCAATCAATAGTTAATAAGTTTACATCTATGAAATTAAATCTCCTGCCCATTGTGGAAACTCATATATCAAATTACCACTGCGCTTGTAATCTCTGCGTGAGAACCCACTTATCAATCACAGAATAGCACAAAAGGGAGCCAATGTCAGTCAAACTAGCAAATTGTACTTTACTTGGGATTGGTAGATCAACTCTCCTCCCACAACTCTCACTTTTCACCCCTAAATGTGAGTGTTTATTGCTCCAAGAGCCTATCTCAATCCTCGTTGTTCTGGCTTGGTCAAAATTGTTGCCCAGTGTTAGCGGTTACGATCATAAAACGTCAAAGCCATGTTCTCCGTCAAATTATAGAAGTAATTTCTGCAAATAACTGCAATCGTTCTTTGTATTCTGCCATAAGTAGTAAATTTGCGATCCTCTTTTATTCCAAAATGGACTTTGAATGGGTTCAAAATTTGAGTCCTATTTCGATGTACTTCTTATAAATTTATTTAATTGTTGAGTTTATTTTATTAAACGATCAATGCCCACTGTTTCCCATCCAACTATTCCATATTTCAAACGTCATGATTTAAACGGTGGATTTTTGAAAGAGATCTTGCGCACTATTTTCATAATCAATCTAAAAATACACTGGCGTGAGTTCATGATCTGGAAAAGCAACCGAAATTTGAACATTCAATTTACAAAAAGAGTTAAGAGGATCGACTCAACTCGAATGCCCAAAGGAACTAATCCAATGGATTTTCCCATTCAAATCTTTCAATTACCACGGAGCATTGCTTCACGATCTAGTGCACTTTGAATAGTAATTTAATTATGAGGATTGGCCTTGACACCACAATTCAATTCTTATTCGAAGATCAAAAATTGTGGCGCAACTTGCATTATTTTAACACAGCTGAGGCCAAAGGACAGTTTTCAATCAAATTTTACTCGATTCCTATTCAAATAATCTAAGTAATATTTTAGTAAAATTCCTATTGGACAATCGATTATAGTTCGGATTCGCTAGCCTTCCTTTTCACAATTGCTATTTTGAAATATGCGCCCAAAGGAGAATATTTAAGTAGCACTTAAGTGGAAGCTAATGTAATTATATCATAACATGGCTTATATTGGATAAAAAGGTATGTAATTATATGAGCTGTGTGCATTTGTGACTATCTAAGAAAAAACATAGGATAAAATGAGTAGATAAATCTTGCACGACCCAAAAAATCCCCCAGCTTCGGACTTGTATCCTTGTGTCTAAAACGAAAATTTACCATTTTGTACAATTAAAATGAATCCTAAAGCTAATCTAAGGCACTGCGCTTGAATAAATTTTTCACTCCTGTTTCCTTCTATTCTAACGTTTAGGCTTGAATTAATCGATCTTTTGTCCCCTAAAGGTAGGAAAATTAATCAAATTTGGGTAAAAAACCTTTGTGCTTATTTTACTTTGCTAATAAATTGGCATATTTAGATATAGTAGGGCGTTTTCTTAGTGAAGTTAGAAAAGTGCTCTTCTGACAAATTGTTCGGTGACCTTCATTGTTTAAAATGCTGTTTTCATTCATGAGGCCGAATCTTTTGCCCATAGGAGGATTCTAAATAGTTTGAATTAATTGACGAAATTGGAAATTAATGAAGGGAAATCAATTCAGATCTGTCTTTAATACTACTTCTCCTAGGCAGTAATAAAAATGATACATCCCGTAATTTTGATTATTTACAGCCTGGTAAATTTGCGTTCGACTTGAAATAATTAAGAGGCGAAAGGAAACATACTTGTTGAGGAGGGGTGGTGTTTTAATTGATTTTTTCACCAAAATTATTAAATGTTCATCGTGATTTTCTTGCAAATAAAGGTACTTACTTCCTGATAAGACCATTATAGTGAAATGGAAGTGTAATTTCAAGGGCCTTCTGGAAGAACCAATTTCAATGGCAGTCATTGAAGTTCCATGGTGGAAAGCTTGAATTCAGCCACCTCACTCATTAGCTTCGCATAAATAGTGCAATTAACAATCCCACTTAACACATGTACACTGGCCCGTGACCTCATGTTGCTACCGCTCATATCATCGGTCAAAATCGAGGTTAAGCGGCTTGTTCAGCATTCAACTTAATTGATCCCTAGTGTAGTCACTGAAAACTTCCCAGGTGAAAACCTAGTCGTAATACCCTGAAAATAAGTGACGAAATTTGTTATTGGTGTTAGATTATCCATTTAAGCAACCCGTTTTTGTTTAACAATTGCAATAAAACAAAATCGTTCAAAAATTAATACACATTTGTTTCCTAGGAGTGCATCTCATTCAAACTACCACTTCATTTATCTACACAAAACAAATAAAATTAGAGCTGATGCATACCTACATGTAATGACTAAAACCAATGAAGTGCACTTTATAGAAGAGATCATAACGTGCGAATTTTTGTCAAGAGACGTTCAATCCTCGGGAATACTAAGGCTGGAAACCAGCTGAAGCATCTTTTTCACCATTTCTACGAATGTAATTAGCACACGAACGCAACAAATGCAGCGTTGTGGGACGAATATAAATGGCAGATGAGACGTTGGAGATAATGTCAGTACCGTTGTCATTAGGCACAAAAGTGTGACGATTTGGAGGAGTAACACTCACTAATTAGATCTCCAAAAAGGAGGGGGGGGGGGGGGGGGCGAGAGAGCGATTCGATAAAAGCTTGCTGTTCGAGAGGGTTTAAGACGGCGGATAAACCTCGAGTAAAATCACTTGACAACCATTTATAATCATTAAGATCACCTAACTACTAATGATTTAGACAGATCTTGAGCGCGGATTATAAAGCAAAATAATCCGCTATCAATAGCTAAAACGTTTTTACTCAATGACTAATCACCAACTTAATCACAGAGCTCCTTCGTTTATTTTTCATACTTCGCATATTTTCTTCGCTCAAATGATTGCTCATATTTGGTATTAAGCAACACGGCAATTCCAAAAATCTCACCGACTTCCTTCCTCAGCTTACCAAATGAAGTCCTTTCACAATATCGCTAATTCTCTCTTTGCAGCGCCTTGTTTAGTAACCTAATTCGTCTTTGGATTTAGTAGAATGCCTTCCGAAATTATCATTATTTTTTATTTTGGCATATTATTCCCTTTCTCACAAATATTCTTGTGTGCTTCAATGATTCCATTCTATATTATATTATATTTATTGGTACTGCATAAAATCAATATTATTACTGTTTAATAAAATGCGATCCGCTCCTTGTAATGCTTCAGAATATCTACCTTGGCAGCTGTAGTCAGTGGAGTATTTCGATTTTTCATTTAACTTGGTATGGTCTGATTTCATTCCCCTTTCACATCGAAGAGGAAAATTTTAAATTACTTTTAGGCTTTCTTTAAAGTTGTTAACGCATGCAAGGAGTAGAGTTAACAAGTTGGCAAAGAGATGTATCCTATTACTCCAGCTTCTGGTGTTGACAATAAATCCATCAACGAAATTGAGGAATTCGCAGAATTCCATCATTCTCAGAAGAAGCGTGGTTTTAGGTATTTACGGTCGTGTAAAAAAGCCGAAATCTCATTATTGAGTCATTCTGCATTAACATCAGTACTTCTATATAAGAGACAAGAGCAGAACAGGAGTATATTTCTGTTAAAATTTTCTTAGATATGAATGTTCTGAATTACTCTATTCTTCACGCAGCAAAAGATGGCTACGCATGATCTTGTCGAAAACGATGATGGCACTTCCTATTAGATCATATAATTGTTAACATGTTAATATTTCATTTTCTGACCTTAGTTGATAATCTAAATTAAAGATATATGGATATGAAATTGATCATTTCTCGTCCTATTACTAGATACGAACTGCGCGAAGATCGTCAAAGAGAATTTGTTCGATCTGTTGCTCATTTGGAAGGTCTCAAGTACCAACTTCTCTCTTTTCTCTCTCCACACCAACAATCGGCACTTGGATTTGCTGAGGACAGACCACATTCCTCGGCTGAGGTTCAAGATACGTCAAGGAGCCCAATTTTACCGATCCCTAAAGCGCCTCGACCGCCTCCGAGATTCCCTGTTGATGCTGGAGACATCAGCAATCTTCCCGGAATGAAGTCCTTGCAGGCAGAAATACTATCGTTACGTGAAGAGGTATGCATATCTAAGGACCACGTAAATGAAACTCATTCAGTGTTATTGTCCACAATTAGGAAAAACTGATCCAGGATGGGGGGGGTGGGGGCGGGTAAGGGGTGGATGGGAAGAGATTAAGGTCTTATTATCGACGAGTGTCGATTCAAGTACATTTTAAACTCGGATTACACTCTATTTACCAAATAGCCAGTTTGCATTCCAAACTAATACTTACCCCATTAGACCCCCCTAGATTGCAAGAAATGTCCGTCTGCAATGATCAATGCATGCTAACCGATCTTGTTTAGACAAGGAGGGCAGATCTTGTCAACTTCACTGCATTATTTTTTCATTGTTGGAGAAGGCGAATGCTTTTATATGATTGTCCACAGCTTACATTTTTAGCAGCAAAAATGTTATTTAATTGTTTTAATTTAATATGTCAATTACTCCAACTAATTTTTGTAAAAATTATTAGATTAACCGCGTGTTGAGGGCAGCCCTGTATTCTCATTTCGTATAAGCCAAGTGGTTAATGCATTAGGTTAATTGAATATTAAATTAGCAAAATCATACACAATCAATATTTTCCCATTAGTTACTAGCATCTAGATCAGCTCAACTCGAAAGTTAGTTATATCTTAAAATGATCGTGTTTTTCCGTGAAATACTGACTGCCCCAATTGTGTTTATTCTCATTGGCACAACGAGGTGTCTGCCGCCTTGAAGAACATTTTGAAAAACCAAATCCCTGCAACTTTCTTAAATGAAATTTAGCATTGTGAAACGAAATCATGAGGTGCGTCTATATTTCTTCCAATCCTCTTGTTTCTAGTCCGAAAGGTCTCAGTTGAATTGTCTGTTAAGGTTTTTTTTACCCTCAAAGATGGTGTACAACTTTTTTCTATCTGGGTATCTTTCGAACTTATAAATCTATTCTTCCAAATGAATTTTATACCATTTTAAGTGAAATTGAACCAGAGGCACAACTCCCTCTTAAAAGTATGGCAAACTGACAGCTTAGAACAGATGTCATTTTGATCTATATACGCATATAGGTAAATTGTGGTTGTTGGTTTAGTCATTCAGATCTTACGTATGACATTAACGGATGTTACCGTTATTTTAGCCCGCAGCATCAATCACTAATGCATTGCCTTGACAACCTCACAAGATTAGTCATCATATATTAACACAGTTAGTTTAGTCTGCAATATGTGATCTGCAATCACTGAAATCTAAATTTCCGCTATGTGATGGGATCAGGAAGTGAGTTGATTGCCGATTATTCCAAAATATAGATTACATTACACCACTTAGACGTCCAACTGCCTATTTTCAAGGTTCCATTGCTATAGAAATTATAGGGCCTTGGTCTACTTTGTACGCTTCATTGAAATCCTCAGAAAAAATATATGCTGGCATTTAGTCATACTTACTCGGAAGTTTCTTTGAAGGGACGAACAATGACATAAAGACAGAATTGTAGATATCGTTTGTAAGTATTACACTTGAAATAATAATAATAATAGTTTTAAGGGATAGAACATCCAGAATTCTGTCGCATTAAGCGAATCGTCATGGTTCGAAACTGGGATCTTTTGGAAAATCGAGCAGCTAGTGCTCTCAAAAATATGAACGGTTTAACGATATTCAATTGACTCCAAGAAAGTTGATACTGTAAGATCTTGGATCCTTTGAAGGTTTTGACAGGAATCCAAAGAAAGTTTTAGGGTCAAGCCGTGTTTACCCGACTGTGTGCTGGCGCCAGCAGCAATAAGACCTCTTCGCAAGCCTTAATAACAGTTTAAATACCACATGACACCTGACTTTTCACATGGAAAGGCGAATAGCCTTTTAGTAATATTCTTTGATAATAAAGTTGTGTTGTAGGTGACCATTTAGTTAAAGTCCCCCCCCCCCCCAACAAAAATTAATCTAAGTTGGCTGCTAGCATCTTTTCCAGCCAAATAATTTTGCAATCGCATATCTTTCCTGAAATACGAGAAATTAAATCGTTTGCATAAATCATAAAGTTGACTAAGTGAAAGGACTCACAAATCTTTAAATATATTTCATAAACGTTTATTTTAAATTTTGATCAAAATCTATACAAATTAAGCTCGATAACACTCTCCTGGGCATTTCATGTAAGAGAAACCCAACATCTTCGTGACTATTATCTGGTTATAAATAATGATTAAAATAGATATTGCTTACAAAAAATCACCTGCTAGCATCAGTTTAAATTATCTTATAATCATAATGTAATTATTACGTGTCCTCCATTAAATGAAAATACCGCGTTTCTTCCTATGTAAATTGACTTCCCATTGAATACTCCTAATTACGCAAATAATGACGAATGAATGATTTGAATAACAAAATAATTATATGCATGCACAATTCGCACAATTTTTAAATAAACGCTGCTGAAATGATCTTCAGTAGCATTTAACATGGCTGATCCATGTTCACTTTAGATCCGCCGAATTCCAGGTGTAACTAAAGCCGGAATACCCACAACAGAAATCCAGTCTGCAGTCAATACCAAAACCACTACCTTAACAAACCGGATCGAAGGTCTCCAAGGTCTCAAAAACGAAATAATTGATGAAGTTAAAGGAGAGCTGCACACCTTTGCTTGCCAATTGATGCAATTTATGAGTCAACAACGACTACAGGAAGAAATCAGCAGTGAGATCTCCTCGGAAGCCGAAACCATTCCCGGAGTTAGAGTAGCGAATCCAATCACTCATCCCACTCTCTCACGGGCACCTGCTATCGATCGGGCCCGCATAGGAGGGGTTTCCGTGAAGTATGCGGCTAGTGACACCTCAAAGATGTCCTTGGCGTTGCCAAAGCGTGTTCATTCCAAGCAGCAAAATCGTTAATTATAACGCACCATTCAGAGCCCGTCCTTGCCTATGCAGCCACTTATAGCCCAAATGAACAATTGAAGTGCATTACAATTTATGATGGTGCATTTTGTGTATTTAAATGCCAACGCAACTGATCCAGTAAATATTACAGATTCTTTGTAAACATATATTATTTTAATCACTCGTTATTTCTTTCAAAGATCATGATTCAAGTGATTTGGGGCCCTGCTAAATAATTTTAAGAATTATATTCTTAAAGAATTGTTAAAGATAAGTCAATTAAATAGGACTGTCTTTTCATTAATCCTTCCTTGGGTGCAAGAATTTTATACTTCTATTTACATGGGTACAAGATTTTATTACCATGTAATCAAACAGCTGAATTTCTTAACCTGGTAAATAATAATTCAAAACGTTCATCGACTTTGGTGCGCATTCGTGCATAATGAATCGATTTTTGATGTATGAAGACTATCTTCGATATGCATTTGGTAAAAATTATTTTTATTGCCTAGGAAAGTTGATGAATAGCTTGCCAGTTTAGTAATAAATGCCGAGAAAATGCCCTTAGATTAATAATGCGAACTTGAGCTGTTGGTTGTATGTAGTCTAAATTAGGATTTTATCGAGTACATTTTGAAAAGTTGTCTGATATCGAGGTGCAATAACGATGACAATTGGGTTGGGCCAGTGAATGCTCATCACGTAATATGACTAAGTAGATTCATGAGTTTGAATGTACACGTATCAAGTATATCAAAGAGCTTTTCACCGAAATACCACCAGACCTATCGAGCTAAAATCGCTATAGGTCTCAGACTTGCAAGAAATAGACCCTCGGCCATATTGAACCAGAATGAAATGTGCGCCTGTATGTCCAGTGGAATAATGGGAAAGCAGATAAGTGAGCTCAGTATGATCATTGATAAATCTTGCTACATAGCCATTGGTCACTGTCGCTTGTGGAGAGAACAGGTGGACATGATTGGAAAAGTCCGCCTGCTCTACCCAGTTGCAATCTTTATACAACTTGTGAAACAGGAATAATGGCCGAACTTCTATTCCCCGGCAAGAGCATACAACAATAGTAATCGACCAACCCATTACCGGGGGGATGAAAACTGTTCAAGACTTCAAATTCTTTCTATTCGGTTTTTTAATTAATTATTTGGATTCAGGAATGAAAATGTCATTTAATCTCGCTGATTTCTTCGATTATTCAAATGCCCAAATTATTAATTGGATTTAGTGACAAATAGCTTATAAAGGTCTTGAGAATGCTGTATAAAATATACTAAAATGGTTTGAAAAACAAATTAAAATAGTAACTTTAATACATGAATACGCTAGAAATTGAGAAACGTGCATTATTCTGGGAATGGAAATGCTCATATAATGGAAATAATGACGAAGAATGATTTAAAATCAAAATCCACGGAACTTCACACATTTTATAATCGTGTCCGGGTATATCCTGGTGCTTTGTCTTCACTTTAGAATACAAATAGGAAATAAATAAAATTCAAACAAATGGTGATTAAATAGGCCAAAATTAGCCACTGTTTGCAAATAAATGTGTAATTAGCTTAAATTTGATCGTTAGCGTAATTGAAATAATCGATCGATCACTTACGACTAATAAGTCGTATTTGTACCTTAAAACCTGTGTGGATTTTTTAGCTATGGACTCTAAATATGCAGGCGGAAGTCAGTTAATGCACTTTCTAACCGATGAAACCGGTGCCAAATGTGGAGATTTCACCTTTAATGAGCACGATCTTGTCCTAACATGTACCAATGAAATTAACCTTAATTGTCAACCGGCTCAGGTTATGGTCAATCACCCCAAAATTCCTGGTCTCTCTTGGGTCATATTTTTTTACCAAACTGGACCAAATCAATATCAGCCACGAATAGCTTTCGATTTTCCTAACTATCTACGTGCGGATGCCGAAATTTGCATTCAATTTGCTGGAATGCATTGGTTGATCAAACATAAATTTGAAGGCAGTTCATGGCTGACAACTGCCCTTGCTCCTAAGAATATGAATGAACGTTGGGTCACTCTTGGAGCAGTAAAGAAAGTTGATGTTCGGGTTAATATCACAAAGATTTGGTTCAAATTTCCTCTCTTCACCGCCTGCTGTCACCCAATAAAAACCAAGCGAATTGTTCGTCAACCGGATTTCACCATCGCTGATCACTTTGCAGATTGTCAGTTAGTTCCACAAGATCCCCGCAATCGAAAATTGTTTGCTCACCGCCAGGTACTAGCCATGAATTCCCCATGGTTTTATGAGAGGTTCAAGTGTATAGCAAGCCTAAATTGTGGTGATTTTGGACCTGTAATCTCAATACCCTTTGAGTTTGACTGCGTTCATAACTTCTTATGCTTTATTTATCCAAACAGTGATTTGGCAATCGATTCACAGAATGTGGAAGGACTAATGGATATGGGGAAGGAATACCAAATACCATATATCATTAGACAGTGTGAGAAATTCCTCTACACCTATATGGAAGGAGGTTCAGCAGTTCTAGCCTACTACCTCGGCAGAAAACACGAACTACCAGCTTTACAGGATGCTGCTCTTCTACATCTAGCAGAACTCAATGCTACACAACTTAGATCTCGAATCTCGCTGGATATGAAGGTTAAAAGCGCGGATACTCAAGAAATTCTACTCAATGACCTTTGTCACCGCCTCTGCGGTTAAATAACTACAATACTTCCATTCCCTGAATTGATTTTTGCCTTGTTTACCGACTATTATATATCCGTTTCTAATTACAATTTCTAGGTAGCAAAGGTTCCGTAAAAATAAGTACAAAATTATTATTAAATGGAAATTTTACAGAACGTAAGATTTGGTATCAGTTCGATGTTAGCTATTAATTAGAACCTTCCAGAGCCACGCTGCAGGACCTCTGGTATGCATGCCAAGAGACTGTAGATCACCATCCATCAACATGGAATGGATAGTTCGAATAGCTTGAGTGAGATCATGTTCTCTAACAGCCCGAGAGACATTTCCTACCTCCGTAAAGAGTTTTAACCAATGCGTGTCATCTTTTTGAGGGTTTTCAAGTAACCTTTCAACAAATGACGAGTCATTTTTGGCAGTAGTCGAAAGAAGGTCATCGACTTGTTCATTTAAAATGCTCAAAGGCACAATAGTATTGGAATCTTTTGAAATTAAGGGGCATTTCGGCAGAAGATCGCGAATTTCTTGCCACGTTTTTCGCAACCATCGAGAAAGAAGGATGTATTTCACGAGAAGGAAAAATTCCAAATAATTCCAACCCTCCCAAGCTTTTAGACAATCCTAGAGGTACTTAAATGAAATAAGTAGTACCAACCTGACAAGCTTCATTCCAACCCGGTGTGGATTGTACATCAGAACAAGACCTTTTAACCTCTTGTAATTGGGATTGAAGGTGTCGCCAAACTAAACCAACATTACAGGCATTTAGCCAATTATTATTTATAGAGACACAGTCGGTCTAAATAAGATGATAATTAGATTAATGAACAAGCATACAAGATTCATAACTTGGTGATACCACCCTGAAGGAACGAAAAACATCTCCCCAGGACGTTGATCAAAGACGTAGCACTGAGGAAAATCAGAAGCTTCACAACCAGGTTTAGCAAATTTACGATCACTTATATCAGCTGGTAATGAGCCACCATTTGGACCAATCAGTTTCTTCTCCTCGCCTAAAATCGATCAAAGAACGAGGTAAAAAAATTGATCAAAGTAAAACACAAAATGGGGGGGGGATAAATAACTAGCTTACCTGGGGGAAATATCCACCAGCGTTTAAGGCCAATAATATTTGCAGACCAACTGAATGAGCCGTAAACATCAGCATGTAGTGGGGTCCAAGTGCCCTTTGGACCGATATAGACGAAACGGAAGTCATCATCGCAGTCAGTTCGAAAATCCGAGAATTCATTTAGCCAATCGGAAGAGAAATAAATAGGAAGACGGTAGAAATCGTTGAAATTATGATTCCTAAGGAAAAAACGATTAAAAGCGGTAAGGATTATTAAGTCCGATCAAATACCTAAAATAGTGCCAGTCTTTAAGGTATAAAACTTTTTCCTTATTAGCCTCCTTCCAATATGATAGATAATCTTCAGCAGACATAGTTAACATTGGATGTGTGCCGAAATTAAGTTCCTGGCAATTCGCAACACATATTTCCTTACAAGAAAATGGTTTGATAATGCCGTCAATGTTGATCAAACCATTTGCATCCCACTCTGACCGAACTGGCCAAGCACTCGTGTGATCTTCAGTAAATAAACAGAGGAGGTTTGGATGCAGGAATCTTTTAGTTAAAAATAAATACAAATAAGATACACATACTTTGTATAAAAATCAGCATATGCGATTTTCTTATCTAAATAAGGGACCGATTCAGGTATATTACCAACCATCTATAAGCAAAATTTACAGAATTATATTATGAACGATGATTTGGTAAATAAAGAAACCAAAAATGTGCAAGTATTAACCAATCATCATTGCACAAAACTATTCGCATTTACTTTAGTAAGGAAGGTAGGGTAATTTTGTAGGGAAAATACCGCAATCCTGCTTAACGGCGAATGACCTTTTAAGTAAGCGTGAAAATTGCGTGGCCTTGTATAGGCGAAAACACAAATGATGCCACTACATAAAAAGTCTCATGGTTAACTGGTTTGCCTGATAAAATGAATAATAGCACATGCTATCTTTTTGAAAATGATAGGCTGAGCAAACGTTCTGAAGTTGAATTTTCAGAGGATTCGTGAGTTCAGTTCGAAAATAATCATTTAGTAAGAACAGTAAAGAAACGGTAATCGATATTACATTATTTGTGTCTGCAATTTTGCAATGACTTCATATTTTCAATGGTCAATTTAAAATGAAATTTTTATTTAAATTGATATTAGCTAGCATAAAAGCTAGAAAAGCCACAATTGTTAACAGAATAAAATAAACCTGAAAATCAACGTTGTCGTCAATGAAAGAAATGCATGCACTATAAAGTGAATTTCTTTTATTGATTTTAATAATAGTCTATCAATTACCTTTTGTCGTTTATTCTAAATTGGTCAAATACGAAATCGAATTAATTTATATGTAAGTCCAATTGCTACAAATATTTTGATAAAAAATTTACCAATTTGATATATTTTAATAAAAGTCGTAACTTTGATTTTATTCTGCGCTATGAAAATACTCACGTATGATACTTATTTATCTGTTCACGTAATATTGCCCATCGTACGAGTTCATTAACAGTTTTGGTGCAATTATAATTCTAAACTAATCAAAATAAAATATAAAATAAATAATATACGACGAATTTGAAAACTCCATAATTTAATATTTCCAATTAACCTCTGTCAACAATCAGATATACCAATGACAGTTTTTCACGCTAATTTACTGGGTATTGATTTAACAGGATTTAGCAACGGCCACCTATGTAAAATACCCTATGACAAGCGTGACATAACCACCCATTTCTTCCTTTCCTCTTCTTCATCTTTCCACTCAACAGTCTCTCATGGCATACTTGCACCTCTAATCGACCCTCTATGTCACTTATTTGCGTTAAAACTCTCTATCCGAACACGATCCATGGTAGATCACCAAAAGCTTGAACTACCGGTCATCATTTAGAAAAATGCCTACTTAGGTCTCTAAAGTACGTAGGCACAAAAATTACATGAAATTAAGAAAAGATTACCTTGAAAAAAGATAAATTCATCACCTTGAATGCTACATATAAGCGTTCCTTAAAGTGTGGTTCACACTATTATCTTAAACGCGCACAATTGCCATGTAGGTAAGGTATTTGTTAAATTTAAAAATTTGACTTTCAAGTAGGGCTAAAATACAATGTTATAATTGCTATCGAAACCGTTTTTATGTCGTCCATTATTTCACGATATTTTAGTCCTAACCTATTTTTTCTTTAAGCTAAAGTAGCTGTTTACATTTCGCTTAGCAAAGCAGCTTTTGTACATTAAAACATGCAAACGAAACATATTTCAGGTGAGAGAAAGTAGTCTGTAACAAATGGGTACCGATTTGGTTCATGGACAGGGGGGCATTTTGAAGAGGTGCTCCTATGTATGGTGCCTCATCAAGACTTGGCACTGAAAGTCCTCTTTAATTATTTTTGTGCAAAAGGAGAAGTGATCCCAACGAAGGTAGAAGAGTGTCGCTTTCAATTTTTCGAAAATTCCATATGTAGTCGGCAAATTCGAATTTCACGATTTGATTTCCGCTTTAGGTTTTGCACCCCTGAATTAGCCCTGAATTAAACACCAATTTAAAGGTTTCTGAGGTGTTAATATTTTTCTTTGTTTTTACAATACTTCTCTGATAATATATATATATATATATATATATATATTCTTTCTAAATAATTTTTCCTCCAATTTGTTAAATTTGCCAGATGGCAGAATTCGCACAGATAGAAAATTGGCAATAGCTTAAAATGGCACACAGTAGGCTGTGAAATCCGGCTGTGAGAAATTTCAAAACATTAATTAACTTACACCACAATTTGTTTTTTCCCAGATTTTGGAGATTTAAATATGGTTTTAAGGAGATCCAGGGCTAAAGAGGATGTTGAAAATGTTGACTATCTGGTGCATGGGAATGTAAGTACTTTGTTGCACATATTTTTTTAACTTTCCACACCAAATTTCTCTGTATTCTTTTATTACCATATGCCACTCAAATCTATCGCTAATCTTCCAAAGAAGAGCGCCTGGATTAGTCACGTAGGTTTGAACTGTGTGTGCTTTGAAGACTTTTGTGGATGTATTGTTGTTAAAATTGGGTCTCATTTCCATAGATCCATCGAAGGAGAAAAGTTACCTCATTAATTGAACTTCAGCAGAACTCGTTTGATGAAAATTTGCCGCTTCCACGTACTCTGAGTGTGGTAATTTTTCGCTTAATTGCGATTATTTTTACCGTGATAATTTGTCAAAGATTAGTTTTATCTACCTCAGGAGGACTTACTCGGAAACTCGGACGACGAAGAGCCATGTTTGCGAGAACGCATTGGTGTAGTAAGTTTTGAAGTAAATATCAAAATCGAAATTATTTAGACAATCAAAAATTAGATTTAACCCCACTTTCATGATACAATAACCGGGTTTTCCTTCAAACATATTCAAATAGGACACCCTTCGTATATCCTACTGAATTAAAAATCGGCATTTTATAAAGCAGCCTATGATTACCATGTAAGATAGATATTCTCTAACTTGCTAGGTTTTGATAGCAGTATCCTTCGTTACTTATTGTTAATGTTTGTTTCATCATTCTGATTAGCGGGTAGGACTTACAAAATATTAGTAGTCATTTGCATAAATTCGTGTATATCGAATTGCTACACGAATAATCCATGACTCATTCATAGCTATCTCTATGGCAAGTTCCCCTCAACGATATAGAGAGAGAGAGAGAAAAGAAAAATTGGAATTTTCAGGCATCTTTCCTGAACTCTGCCGCGTGATCTACAACACCAAAAGTACTTATTCATTAGTCTCCTCTTCGTCTGCCTTTGAGAAGAGAAAGCAACATTAATGCGGCAAGAAAAGCCACTCCGTTTAAACAACTCATCCATGAGCGCGTATCAGAAACGATGAATAAAAGAGGAAAATGAAAAAAAAGTTCGGCAAGTGTCGACTTTTTTGTTCCTCTTTCCTTTCTCCAATCTACTTCCCGTGGTCAAAATATGCTATTTTTGTGTCCTGTTGTGTAATAGATTTGACCTACTAATAGGACAACACCACATAGCTAAAACAAAACCAATATTTACTCTCCTTTGTACTCTTAATTCTAGGGCACGTACTCTGATGTGTACAAATGTCGGAAGAGTTGCAGCGGCGAAATATATGCAAATAAAGTTATTAAAATGAATGAAGAGGAGGGAGCACCAGGCACAGCAATTTGGGAGGCCAGTCTATTGAAAATGCTCCACCACGAAAATATTATTGCCCTTCAAAAAGTCAGATACGATCCTGGAAAACTGCATATACAACTTGAATACGCTGTAAGTAGAGTATCAGCATTACCCTAAATGGCGAAAACTAAACGCCACAGAAAATAATATTACTTTAAGACAATAGAACTGACAAACGAATATATTTTTTTCTGGAATAAATTTCAATCGCCTTCTACTTTAAAACTGGAATTCAATCTCTATAATACCTCAATAAGTAATTAATTTTATCGTAGAATGTGATATAATTTCCTATTTATTCGATAATATCTTATTCAAAATGAGTATAAGCACAAGTAAACTTTCAATTCTGTTTTGTTTTATTCCTTTTTTTCAAATTATAATAGCGTTACAACTTGAATTCCTATATGACAACACACCAACTCTCCTCAAACCAATCTAGCGTTGAAAGTCTGGCTCGACAATTTTTCAGGGGACTTGGCTACATTCATGGCAAATCAATCATTCATAGGGACTTGAAACCAGAAAACCTCCTAATTACTGAAAATGGAACCTTGAAAATTGCCGACTTCGGTGAGGCCATAAATATTATAATACCATAGAGATATCGATTGAAATATGCTCCTCCCCACCCTCCCTCCCCACTCCTCAACTCCCCTCTCCTCTTCTCCCCCAAAAATATCAAATTACAGCCTACTTAATGCACGTAAATCTGAAATTAGGCGAGAAAAGAGTCTGATGACACTCGTATTTTTGGCCTTACGCGGTGGGAAACTCGAAATTTGGCCAAACCTAATCATCATAGTTGACCAGTTCTAGCTACTGAGTGTGCATTGTTACTTATCGTTGAGTTTAGGTTAAGAAATGATAGTATATACCAGAAGTTGAAACTTATTGCACATTCTGCCAATCAGATGTTTAAAGTAGCAATTGAAATGTTTGCAATGAGGGGGGGGGGAGATATGACTCCGGAGTTTGGGGATTTTTTCTTCTCTGTTACTAGCCTCAGAACCATATGGACCATTAACGCTGATGTTTGTGCAGATCTCCCTTGAATAGATCTGACGTTGAGGGAAATATTCAGCAGCCTTTACCAAAGAGCAATATTAAGCATTAATATTCCACATAAGAATCTATTATGATTTCAACTTTTTCTAGAATATTTTTGCTTTATTCTTATAGGATTAGCTAGACAAGTTTGTCAGCCTGTTTCAACATTCGGAACGCACGTTTCTACTCTGTGGTACGTCTCATTTAAACAAAATTAATAACGTCTACAATAATTTCCAATGTCTCACTCATCGGATATTGGTCCTAACCACCTATTATCATGATCCTAGAGGCGAAAAAAAACATAAATTTATCTTGAATAACTTTTTAGAATGCCTGTTAGGCTTGAACAAAAGTGGTTTACGATTGGTCGCACAATTAATCAATATTACAGAAGAAAAGTGACTTGGTTCAAAATTACAAAAGCGGGTGTACCATAACAAATAGACTATGGTTTATTCATTCAATTTTATTTGTCGCAAGTAGGATACCAAAAGTATTCGACACTACCCATCATCAAATCCACTAAGTCGATTTGAAGTTCCTAAACCAATATGTGTATATATGTGCGTGTGTGCGTGTGTGTGTGTGTTTGGGAATAAGAAATGATTGAAACTCAACTTTATGTGACGTTCATTTTCAATTACATTCTCTAGGTACAAAGCACCGGAACTCCTACTAGAAATCAATACATACGGGAGTGAAATAGATATTTGGAGTGCTGGATGCATTGTCTACGAAATGATGAAGGGCAGAGCTCTCTTTTGTGGATTAAATGACATGAGCCAACTCAAGACAATATTTGAAGATATCGGTAAGTATTCGGTAGACCTATTATTGAGCGTCTTAACAAAAAATCTCCGTAAACAAACAGATTGATCCTTCAGGAGTGCCTTCAAGTGTATACTGGTCTGAACTACGTGTCAATACCAAGTTTCAACTAATTGAATCAACACTTCGTCAGTTTGGTCCCCCGATAACTGATATAAATCCGGAAATGCATAATATACAGGCACGCTTGCTTCCAAAATTTAAACGGAACCTGCACCGACATTGGCTCAGTCGAATGGACGCTTTCAAGCTTCTTGAAATGTGTCTACAACCTCGTGGTTCCCGAAGGATTACTGCACAGCGGGCGTTGAGTGAAATGACATTCTTGGACGGAAATTCACCAACCATAAGTGTAAGTATTTATAAAAATCGAAGTGCCTTTAGGTTAAAGATGCAGTTTACAAACTGAAACTTGCATATTCCCCTAGTCATGATACAGGAAATGAAAGTTTTAACGTAAAAGATAATGGTTCAGACATTGAAAACTTCGGAAATTCATTCAGATAACTGTAAGACGCATTTCTTTGAGTGGAAAACGGTTTAAGTGTTCGTCAAAAGAATTCATGATCTCGATTCATATAATTAAACAAGCAGTAATGGAAATGGAGATCTGTATTAGTTTAGTCCGTTTAAGGAAGGAGCTAGCAAAATTCGAATTCTTCCTAAGGGGTCCACTGAAGGGGAGAGAAGCTACCAAATCAAGATAGAAATCATATTTTATTGATAATTTTGTCTGGTCTGGTAAAGTCTCTCTCTCCCTCCTTTTGAGTCTGAATTTACCTCAAAGCGGTCGACCTGATAAAACAACTGAATTTCGAAGACGCATAACGTTTAGTTGGAATCAGTCAGTTTCAAGGTTTTTCATTTATTGTATTTTTAAATATTTTAAGGTACTTATGAAGGTAATGACATACAGTATTGAATAACCCTGTATTTCATTTAGTGGAAACTAAATAGTGTGCCTAATTACATATTAAAATTGATACAATCAAGTACTTGGTAACATTTCGAAACTACAATCATTAGTGAAATATCTCACCGTTGAGGTAGTAAATTTACAATTCAATTATTTTGTTTAAAATGAAAATAAAGATGTTGTCAAACAGAGTGTGATATGCACGCAATGATTGGCTGCCTGATTAACCAATAAGGTTGCAATGGCAATGTTCTAATTTCTCTATTCGAACATGGTTAATCAACTATCAATAATCCGTCGTGCAAGGAATGAAACTATTAATAGACTCTGCTGAGATACATCAACTTTAATCTGTTCACTTATTCAGCCTAATGGGAAGAATGATTCCTCATTTTAAAATACTGAACCAAACGCGAAAGTAAAGCCATATTTTAGATCATCGGTTTTCGTGAACTTTAATTTGTGGAGATTGTGATGAAGAAAAAGGGCTTCGAATTCTTGGATTTGATAAAAGAATGTAAATCAATGGGGATAATTGATTTGCACAAGGAATAACTCGCTGATCCATAAATGCTCCATCCAAGATGAAACAGTTAAGGGCCCAAGTTGGTAATCTCTTACTACCCAGTGCGATCTGATCACTTATTTCCAGTTATGTGTCGCCTATCTTATTGTTCTTATGGTCTTTGTTTTAATTTTGTCATAGTAGGTTTGCCATATTTTAGGAGATAAGTGTGTTCAGTATAGTTAAAGTAGCAAAATTAGGTAATTCCTTTGTCAGTAAATAATGAATTTTTAGGAAATATGGCGGGAAATTTGGTTTATTCGTCAGTTTCTACGCCATAATTCAGCAATATGTTTTTGAGCCACATTGAGGTTCAAAAGGGCTATAGTGATTAAATATGAATTGAAGAGTATGATGAATCCTAATTACACAATAAATCGCCAACTCTGCCAGTCTGCCTCTGGATATTAAATCGCTAACGGTAAGGTAAAATTTTAAACTGTCTCCTCTTCATGAACAAAATTAAAACAATTTTAATTATTCTCACGGCCATTAATGCCAAAACGCAGCTGAAATTAACGACGAATAATATTAGGGGGCCTGTGGAATTGAACATAAGGATACATTCACTTCCAATACAATTAACTGACCTAAATACCTTACTGCATTTGTTTATTCCTATTATCTAATGAAATCACAGAGAAGACGTACACTGGAACTTATTCAAGGCAAACTCTGGTACCAAAAAATCCATCTTAGTGCAAGACTTGAAAAGTTAGGAAATTCTTTTTCCCATTAGGAAAGTATTCAAATTAAAATTTACGAATTTGTAAAATCAGGGTGGGGTCTAGGGTGGGGGTGGGGGGGGGGGTTATGGAGTAAAACCAAGATCTAAGAGTAATATCTCATATTTAAATACACAATTTATTGTGGTTTTGAGTGATAGTTAGTAAACGAAGACTATTGGGAGACATTTCTGGAATTTCGGTGAATTCCAGTAGCAATCTGAGATCTTGTTGTTTAATCAATCCTTCTATCTTGATAAATTTCTTCACCTGATGATCAAGAGCAATCGTTTCTCCCCGCCTAATGAATAGTTAGAGTCAAGCAGAAATAACATAAATCGAGAGTCAAGGGCTTTAAATTGCCTAAATATTGATTTTTTGCATAATTAAAGAATCAATCCACTTGCCAGAGATATATAGGAGATTGTTGCACGAATTAGCATTGATCTATCCTATGGTAAAATGTCCCAGACGTATAGTGAGTATTGCATTAACTGAGTTTAAGTTCACATCAAACCCGATTCGTATTTGAATGCATTTAATATAACTTGAATGAGCCTTAATAACTGACTAGCTGAGAAGCCCTCTGTACGCACGCCCCCCCCCACCCCCCCC